AAAAAAAGCTATAGCTACCAGAGCGAGCAAAATGGCGCTATCTTGTCTGCTTGGGATTACACGCTGTGTCCCGCGGGAAAAATTTCCCCGAAGCGGAAGCAGAAGCTATATAATGAATCCCTTATTGACCAAGCTTGTTCGGTCAAGATTTTGTGTGTTTATGGACCTCGACTCCGTCTCGGTCCATACACTCGCAAAAAAAGAACTTGGCCAAAAACATTACAACGAAAAAGACCCGAGTATGGCAGGTTTAGGAAATAATTTCTTCGCTTCGTAAATCATTCCTAGAAATGGCGGAGGCTTTGGAGAATTGATCATTAACTAATTTAGCAGGATAGCCTTGATTAACAAGAAACCCTTTGCACTCAGCTGTTTACTCGGCAAGGAATATTTCATCAGAGCAATTTCTTTTCAACCTGCATACATATACATACATACATCCTTTATTATCTTTCCTCATGGGGGTTTTTCGAAAACAATATGGTACAATACTACAATTAAATACTAATATACTAAAATTAATAATATTACATTCTAATTTAGATAATCACGAATTTAAAAACTCTACAATTANATTTAAAAACTCTACAATTAAGTTACGTTTCAATGCTTTTTTCAAACCTTGTGGCTACTCTAAAAGGAATAGCCTTCAAAAAATGCTTGGCATGGCAGCTAGAAGGTGGGAGATATAAACGACTGAGGTTTTTTTAGTTTCGTCTTTTGGCCTTCGTGGTTAATAACTGTTTCTATTTTGAGTATGGCGTGACACAATTGTTAACAATTTAACTATTATAATGGTTTCATGCTACATCAAACACCTCACTAATTGCACTCAAAATAAAATGCAATTATCAGGGATTGTAATGCTTTTTGCAGAACCTGATTATGTTAAAAAAGTAAAAACTTATGATGTTTTAAATTATCTGGGTCTAAGTTTTCTGAAATCCTTAAAAATCAACATTAAAGAAAGGATAGAACATCACCAAGTACAATTATTGGAACGGAGAGAATACTTCCTTCTAGTGGCAGGTAAATAACACGAAGAGCTAGCAATACAGTAAGTAAGTAAGTAAGTAAGTAAGTAAGTAACATCTTTATTTACAGAGGGTAACACATAACAGTAAAAAACTGATGAACCAGTGGCCCTCTATCGTAAGTTAAAAATTAACAACTATTTACACTTATAAGATAATAAAAATTACAAAATAGAATACAGCTAAAAATTTAAAGATATGATAA